TATAGACTTATTTACCTAACATTGCTATTGTACCTTATAAATACATTATTACATTTTCCAGAAGAGTCTAGTTAAACAATATATATCTTCTATTTTGTTTTATATTCCAGAGAAATGTATTAAAGAAAAAATATACTACTTTTCAGACCAGGAAGTAAAGTGCCCACTAGTTTACCTGATAACTTTACACCTGATATGGTACCTGAAAATGCAAAAGAAACTTGCAGAAATTGGTTTTATAAAATATCATCTATAAGAGAACTAGTTCCACGTCTTTATGTTGAAATGGCAATAATAAAGTCTTACAGCTTTTTAACAACAAGGTATAACTATATTCTTCTCTCTCTCTCTCTCTTTTTCATACACACACAGACACACATATATACACGAATTTTTTATTTTTAGTGAATTTAATACAGCCTTATTACGAATAACTCGAATGATAAGAGGTATTGGAAATCCTCTTATAGCTGTATATGCAAGATGTTATTTATGTCGGGTGGGATTAGCTTTAAACAAAACATCTGATTTTGATTTTGTAAGAGAAAACTTTTGCGACTTTCTCTTTACGTATCAGCAATTGTTTGGTCCATTTGTGAAGAATGAATTAATTAAGCAAAATATGACTTTATATTCTTATCTAAATCTTTATTCACCAGCTTTGGATTGGATTTTGCAAGTATTGGTAGCTACAACTCCTGAGAGTCTTTTAGAAGATGTACTTTCTCTATGTAAAGACCAAGCAAATAGGTGAGTGTATATTTAACTCTTCTACAGAGTGTCCAACCAACTTTGTCTGCCTTAAATATCTCCATTATTTCAAGTAATAAGAGAAGAAAACATCACTTATTAAAATAGTATGGTTGCAAGAATATGAAATGAAATTATATGAAAGTAATAAGATGTATAAAGTCGAATATTTCAGGAACGGTGAGTTTTAGGATAAATATACCGTAATACTTTTATATTCAGAATTCGCTATTCTATCTAAGACTTCACCTGTAAAGTAACTATTGCTGTGTTTCTTGCAACCATACAACTTCTGTAGGTAATGTCTTCGCCTATTACTTGAAATAATAGAGATACTTAATCTGGATATAATTGGTGGACACCTTGTATGCTTGCGACGTTAGATAACTTTGTTGCAATCAAATTATCGAAATGTATTCTTTTAGTTCATTATTACTGAACAGTGTTTTAACAGCATTTAAGCCATCATATATTGCGGGACGTGCAATAGATTTTGTGAATTTAATAATTGCAGCCGAAGACGATGGTAACTAAGTGGTTATAATGCTTCAAAATTTATAAATATTCTTTAAAATATAAACATTTACACGTTTTTAACTTCTGTTTTTCAGGTTTCCCGCAATATATTTTGTACCGAAGTTTAGGTGAATGCCTTGTACAAGAATCACCACTAAAAGAAGATTGTCAATCAATCCTTAATATGATATGGAAACATATAACAGATTTAACAAAACCCAACAAATTTATGCATTGCGTTGAAGTTTGGATTCAATTCACTGCAATCCATTTTTCTGTAAATTTAATATCTTTATTTAAAAACAGAGTAATCGAAGAGAGAGAAATATTCATATGTTACAATTTTCATATTACAGGTAAATGAATTAAATCTATTTTTTGGAAAAATAATTGATCGACTTAATCCAAACAAAAGTTTTGAACATTATTATCCACAATTACAAAATATTATTGAAAAAGTAGTATCTCACACACAGGATTTTGAATCATTACTTGCTATGGTAATTATACCTTATTCATTATCGTTTGTTTTTATTTCTTTACTTTTAAGTGATGTGAATAAAATTTTCTAGAAAAACATTTTCAGGATAATTTCTTACCGCTAATAGATTTGTTTCATAAGGAAAGTATTAAGGTTGAAGTGTGTAAAACTATAATAGAAGGCTTAAGTGCTCAAACCGGCCCTATTACTGATCCTATTATTATAAATGCACTTATGTTTATTGCAAAAATAATGCACGATTCCGTTAGGTAACTGTCTGGTTTGATTAATATATACTTATTTGTTTAATATGTAGTATATATGTGTAGTCTCATAATAAGATCATTTGTTAGTGCACTGACTGTTGAAGATGAAAAACGACAAATTGGTCAGCTTATATGTGCTTTAGTGCAACGTGTTGATTATGGGCGTGATTTTGAAAAACAACTTAATTTTTATGCTGAAGCTAGGGCAGTCTTTCCCAATCTCGATACTGTTCATATACAACTTGTACAGGTAGTTAATTTTTCAATAGAACTTTTAATATGAGATGCACATAATTAAGGTTTTTTTTCATGTTTTTTTCTTGAATATTTAGTGTGTAAATAGATTATCAGTTGATACTCGAAAGATTGTTCGCGGACACCACACAAGAAGAACGTCGGCTTTTGTACGTGCTTGTGCTGCCTTTTGTTTTATTACCATTCCGTCACTGACTTTAGTTCATACACGGCTTCAATTGTATCTACTTTCTGGTCAAGTTGCGCTCTTAAATCAATGCTTAGGTCAAGGTAACTAATTATGATTCGATATTTACAATATTTATTAAATACTTACATACATATGTATGCAGATATATGTACATACATAACTAAAAACTATTTTCTTAGCTGATGCATGTTTCAAGGCTGCGTTAAGTTTAGTTCCAGAAATGCCCAAAACAATAGACATAGACGGAAGACAAAAAAGTTCGCAACCTTATTTACTATCATATTTGTCGAATTTTTTATCAACACTGCTGGTTGTACCGGTATGCATTTACGTATAATGTTATAAAAATTTTGTTGTTCTAAGATTATGTGTAACATAAAAAATATTATTAAAATGTATGACGATTTTGTAGGACAGTCCAGAACATGGTGTTTTGTATTTGATGAGAGGTTTACTTAATGCTGTCCAACGATGTTTCGAGGAAAATACATTAACGAAGACATATTTATATTTACGTGTACTTGATTTATTATCAACAGTTGTGCAAGAAAATTATCCATACCACGTTGATAAGGTATTTCAAAAAAAGATGAAAATACCTATATGAAATTGTAACAATGTTACATTGTAATTTTTATTGCATATTTAGGTTGATTCTAACGATAAGTTGTATGGATCCGACCAAAAATTTATAAGTGAAGTAAACAAAATCAGTTCAAAAATTATAGAAGAAATTTTGTCTCAGTTAAAATATCTTGGATCTACCGATCAACTCGAAAAACAAGTAGCTCTTGCACTTGAGCTTTTTAATTGTTTTGTTGTTAGAGCAAATTTACGTGATCCACAATTAGCGTACATGGCCGTAAATTTGTGGAATTTATGTCAACGATATGATTTTGTAGATTCGAAAGTAAAGGTAAATAGAAATCACATGGTTTTTACAAGCGACACTTTTTATGGATAGACTTAAAAAATCATTCTTTTATCTTTTAGATGAAAATGATAGCTTATATGGTACAAAAAAGTCATCATAAAGAATATGAACATTTTTCGGATGTTTTAAAAAAGATGTTAAAGTAACTAATCTACAGAGAATTGGAATTACATGCACGTTGCAGAAGGAATAGAAAAAGAATTTGAAATAGTTGACAGATGGATTAAATTTTCTTTTAATCATTGTTTCGGAAGATATATTGGTTGTACATTAAATTTCATTTAATTGTGGCAACATGTGTTGTATATTAAAGAATAATATAAATATGATTTGTATCAGTTCAATCAATTTGGTTGAGTATCAAAGTATGTTATGTTATGATAGAGTAAGAAGACTTGATTTTGGAAGCCACGAAAAATGCATTTCAACATTTAACTTCTTTTAAATTATTATTGTTTTAAAATGGATCGAAGGGAATCCATAAATATATCAGCATGCTTTTCTGTAAACGTTAAGGCGGGTCTTAATCTTATCGCTGCAGTTCCACATCCACCGGTTTGGATACCTGTTCAATAAGAAATTATTTCTCTGTTGTATATAATATATTGGAGAAATATTACCTTTGGCTAAAAGTTTCTTAATCACTGTATCTCGTAGTTCGGGCGAGGTACAATTAAATGCAATGAACGTTCCACGTCCACGTACTGAATTAATTATTGTCGAAAATTCATTTTGCAAATTCATCAATTGCTTTAACGTATAATCACCAACAGTCGTAACCCTTTGTAATAGGTTTTCTTCTCTTATTGTTTTCAACACTGCTTCAAGTAATATTATTTTGCTAGGATCTCCCATCCAGGTATTAAATATACGATAAGATTGTTTAGGTCTGTAAGATACATTAACTACAGTTGATGGACAAATAAAAAGTTTGTTAAAATGGTTAATAATTTAAAAGAGTAATTGTACTTGAATGATTCAACGTGATAATAACCGCCCAGTTGCATTTTTTTGCTAAAAGTTACTAAGTCTGGGGGAAATTTTAAATTGAAATGTTCGTGACACCACATTTTTCCCGTTGGACCACCACCTGTTTGTACTTCATCGATTAATAATGCTGCGTCATGCTAAAAGAATAACAAAAATATGTTCGTTATAACGCGAAAATGTATCTTGAAATTTCGAAAGGTAACGCCATATCACTTTCGAACTGTTACTTTTTTTGTTATGTGTCGTAATGCTTGGAAAAATTCCGGAGATCCGTGGTTATCACCTCCTTCCGCTTGAATGGGTTCAACAATTACACCAGCAATTGGCATTTTTTTTTCAATTTTGTACTTTTCAAATAATTCTTCTACCTAAGGAAATGATAAAAAGCTCTACATATAAGAAACACGATACGTTGAAAGTCAATTAAGCGCCACGAAAGCAAACATAATTACGTACCTCAGATAGACATCGTTTATCTTCTTGTTCATTTTCTCGCATATTTTCACTCAAAGGATATTTATATATAGGAAACGATGCAATGGGCCAATCAAAAGCCGGGATATCTATCTTGTGAATGTATTTACTGTGCGTCGTTGAAAGAGAACCCAACGTTCGTCCGTGAAACGCTCCTGTTGTCAGTATTATTGTTATTGTGTTGTTTAAATTTAACGTGCTTAGCTTGTTTTTCCAATTACCTTTGAATGAAAGTATGGAAAATCGCGGAGTGCCAGGAATTTGATTCATCATACAAGTTTCCATTTCTTCTTTCGTAAATAGAGCACCCTTCCTTTGTTTTTCAGCATACCAAATGAAAATTGTCTTAAACGCATTTTCATTTGAGCAAGAGCCGCACATCATCGTTGTGACATGAGACAATCCTGGCGGAGCAACCTTTAACGTAATAGTCGTTTCATCACTATATTCGAAAAATGTTTATATTTCAAAAAAGTCGAAATGTTTTTAAATACATATGAACAATTTAACAGGTGCTACGTACCTCCTTATGGAGCAATACGTTTTTTAGCCTATTTGGCCAGTCCTTTCCAGGAAATACGCCTAATGCTGGCCGATTCGCTATAATTTTCTGTTAACGTAAAAGGATATTTTAAATGGCTCGATAACAATAAAACATACCTATAGGCCTAGTTTATCAGTATCCGAATTGTGGTTGTAACTATTTTTACGTAAGTTTTTATACAAAATAATCTGTGGTAAAGTAAAGGAACCTTGAAATTAATCATACGAACAAATTGTTTAAGTGCAATATTTCGTTCACCTGATTGACAGGATCGCTAAGAGCTTCTAACATAGCTGGATGATTGTAGCCCAGAGGCATTGATGAAATTTGCATGTAAACATCGAGTAGAGTATTCCCATCGACATCCATTATATAGTTACCTATTGATTTTTCGTAGTCTGCGAAGAATTGTACGGAAGAGGCTTGCTGCAGTCATAGATTTCAACATGTAACCCATTTCATTTCTAGTATACATATTTAGAGAACATTAAATGTTACGGATAATGTGATTCATTTTGTTACTCGAGGTATAATAATTTGTCACCCTTAAAGATACGATAACTTTCGATGCTAATAAGTCCAGATAATTCGTAACAATTCTTCCAATAGCTCGTTAATATTACTAGTAAAGTATTCTCGAGGATGCTTATTTTTAAATGTTTTTACTTGCTTATGTTTATTTGTTACAAATTATGGTAAATCGCGATCAATGGAATTCCAATTTATGTCGCGAGTGTAATAATAATAACAATAGCAACAAGAAAATATTCACGTGAATTGAAATCAGAGAAAATTGTATCGATAACAAAGCGATATGTTAACGATCGTGAACGTACTTGTATTGTATTGAGTTCTTGTAATAAAGTACGTGATTGAGGCCCTGGTATTTCTGTTGTGACCGTCGGTTTTTTTGGTTCCTCCGATAAAGATCCGGTTAGGCATCTTTTCCAGGAAATTGCATGCCCTATGTGAAAGTCACGAACAAGTCATTCCCTTTCTATTTTTAATAAATGCTGCTTTTAAATTAATGTCATAGTTTATTATCGAGAGAATTGTCACTCGTCTCCCTTTCATCGGTGTGTTACTTTTTTTTACTTGCGTATATATTATTTTTCTCCGATTATTAAACCTTTCGTAGGTACGAAAGTGTCCGCGCACATAATATATTTATAATATTTTTATACCTTTCTCCTCGTACAGAGTTAAATAAATAATGAAATATTTTATCGGCGAGCAGATAATAGATAGTGCGTTCGATTGGAATCAAGGTGTTCTAATTCCTTTTATCTAGATGTCATATACCACATTTCAATCACGATAACATTCATCCTGGAGTGGTGTAGCGTAACAAGTAGTAGTGTCGACTTGAATCACGATGTTCAACCCCAATGTTAATAAATCGAGCGTTTAAATTCATTGATGTTAGTTAAGGGTAATTGGTTGTCGTATTGACGTACTTGTACGCATAGTACACGTCCGAATACTGTTGATCTTCTTATTTCCTCTGCTAAATCCGTTTATTAACGATAATCGTTCACAGAAGTGAGCCTCGAGTATCTTTTTTTAATTATCTCTTGTGAGAATAGCAGTGAACGTATATACGTATCTTATCCAATTTTAGTGTCAGCACATTTAGGTGATCTTTTATGACCGACAAATACGAATTTTATAGATGGTTCAAATTAACGTTTTTCTATGTATTGAAGGCATATGGTGTATGGACTCGTTTTAAAATAAAAGATGTTAGGAAAAATGTGTGTGCTTAAATGATGGTATCGAGGAATTTTCCCCTCTTTCTTGTAACACATTGTGGTATACACGTATACGGTTAGCAAAGACATTAGAAATACGTTGATTAATAGCAGTTTGTAATTGCAGTGTAACCTAGCAAATTTGATTCTCGAAAGACAATTACATTTGAAATTTATTTCTGGAAGTCAACAAGGTCGATAAACAAGCTTACAAATACCCAAGACCAGTACACGTGCGTGTACATATAGGTAATTCGCCCAATTGTATGATATTTCAGATTTCGATAAGATAAGTGGTGAAATGGGCGTGAATACTTTTAAAGATAAAACAGGAGTAAACGAGGCTTAGAAATGGGGAACGGATCAACAGAGACGTAAAAGTGAACGATATTCAGTGTTTGAGAAAAAGAAAAATATTTGTTCCAAGTGGATAGATACTTGCTCTGCTTTAAATAGTTAGACACCGTCTACATTTTCAGCAAAAAGTTTCAAACTTTCACTCGAATAAAATAATTTCGTCGTTTAAAAGAATGAAAAAAGAAAATATGTACAGCTAAATTGTATGTATAACACTGATATTATATTACGATGCTATATATTATATTGACATTTTAGTCTTAAAAAGCTTGAAATATTTCGAAGAAGGTACAATAACGAATATAAATTTAAAAATTCGTTCATTTACAGATAGTTATCTGAACAAAGAGCTTAAATAATTCTTTTCTCCAGCCTACAGTTATTCAAAAGTTGATTGAACGATAAAATATACAGCGTAGAGATGCATCACCAGGGATGTGTATGCATTCGAGAAAAGGTTTGTCAACCTATTTTATACGTCACGAAATGACACGAGAAACTGCACAAGAGGAGATTCACGGTGGAGAGCGGAGTTATCGATTCTCTGAGTGTATCATGCGCGGACTGATTTATTCTAAAAGTTACTAGTCCTCGTACCGTCTCAGTTGTTTGAGCAATTGAACAAAATTACGAACGAGTATAAAATTAGACGAAGCGAATATCATGGAATAATCGTAAAAATACCATTGAACAATTGCCGTGAAAATGTTCGAGCACAAAGAACAGTTTGGAACTTGTTAGCGAGCATCTTGCGTTCGCGAGGCTAGCCTGGAGCTTGATTTTGACGAGAGATCGCCCTTTCGTGGCCGCGTAATCGTTACTCCAAGTACAGTTTCCTCACGAAAGGATGGATACGCACTGGCCACAGATACAACTCTGCTGATCCTTGCGCAGGAAATGTTTGATCGTTCCCGAGACTGTACGAACATTCACGAATCAGTTCCACTTTAACCACGGACTTTTGTCTAAACGTTACGCGACACAACTACTATACGTTTATTCGATTCACCAACTTTTCTCAAGTTTCCATTACCAATTCAAGTAAAATAATGATAATGAACGCAGGTGCTAACGGTTCGCGCTCAAGTTACGATCTGTGAATGGATACGTTTAACTACCGATAAATACTTAAATTTTCTACAGGATGTTTTCGAGCATGCACGGACATGTACGAACTTTCACGAGTGTTTAAATTCTGTGGCGGGACCTATGCGCACGAATGTGCCGTAAATAAGTGTTTATTATCAAACAAGTTTACTTACTTATTCGTACACAAGTTTAGAACATAATCCACTTATTTTCTCCTATCCTCTTTGTTTTCGATAAAGATACAATGAAATTAGAACGAAACGAAGAAACATTTGGTAATATGTATATCGCGGCAAGCATTCGTACATTTTGCTTCGTTCTTTTCTTCGCGAATAACTATATAATTGATTATTTTATTGATTTTGAGACTCGAATCACGTATCAACAGATAAACGAAAGAAAGAAAAGAAGCTCTGGCAAAGATGTGAGAAATTGGCTTTCCCCTTACACAGTACGTACTTGCCTACTGGATTTTAAAATACCATTGCGTTTCATAAAAATAATACTGTCAATTGTTGTATGAAAGAACGAGAGTGAATGTAACATTTCTCTACTCTTCTCAACGCTTAATTCAGGGTATTTCCGAAATTGACTCGTTATAAGATGAAATGAATTTGGATGCAGCCAATTTAAGACATCGTGCAGTCATACGAATATTTACATCATAGGTGTTACTATTTCTTACCTATTCGGTTGCCAGCACATTTTGAAGAAAACTAAAACCTGAAAACAATTCCCGCTCTATAGGTTAGAATCGAATCGTTTATTTCGTTTAACCTCGAATAAATGATCTTTTAAAATTTCATTATTTTTAAATATTCGCTTAAGAAGTTCAAAGCTTTTCAGATTGATCTCGTTTGATCCTTCGAACGTTGAACATGTAAGATAAGTGATTGAAAAGGGTTGCACGGAGAAAGTGAAACTTATTTGATGAAAGATTACGAATTTGATTTGGTTGTTTTTTCGATTTCGTTGATATATATATATTTAAGTAGACGCATCATCCTAACATACCTGGAAACCACACCTTGTTAGTGGTTTGCTCTCGGATACTGGGTGGTGGTAGCAAGTTTTTCGGCAGTGGCGAGCCACGGTATGTCGCATGAGTATTATTCGTTCGCGCCAACGCATTCGGGTCGGTTCGTTCGGCTGTGTGACATCGTAACCGCACAATACTGGCCGCACATTTCGTTCGATTTCAAATAAGTATACTTGGAAACGATCCGAGCGTCAAACGGATTAAAGCGTACGCTTCGCATTTGAACGTGTTCGACTATCGACAGTATTGAAAAGTAGCATCGAGACGGAAGAAAACGCTTTCTAGCTTTCAACTCTTCCTTCGATTTGGCAAACGAGTGACCTAGACAGTTTTCACCTACATAATTGTTCGGTCACCGATATTAAGACCCCGGTCACGCGCAAACCGGTAAGTATCTTGTCGTTCTTGCGATACCGATTGCACGTTATTTTACGATTCGCACGCGCAATTTTGCCGGAAAGAAGAAAAAGGAAAATTTATACGGTTCCACTACGGGTATAATTTGCTTTTGCGCTCAGTTGAAAAAGATAAGCACTTCACGCGGGAAATACAAAACTTGAGAAATCATTACAGTTCAAGTAACGTACGTTTGAACGTACAAATGTAATCGCGATGCTATGCGTGTACACTATATAAATCATTGCTTTTTACCATGTACATGCAACGAATTATTGGTTGTATTATTTAAAAGTTTTGTCTAATTTCGAATTGGAAAAGTTTTTTGCTAAATTAACGTTGAAATCGTTTTTGAGTTTATTGCATTTCTATTTTCCTCCTGTCCTTGACTGTAACCTCGACTGAAATCGTCATTCCTTTCTCTCGTTTTTACTATTTTTTATCATAATTTCGATATTCCTTTTGTCATTAAGACCAATCTACTGCAATTAGCATATAAATCTATCGGAAAGATTCGTCTTCGAACAGTCCCCCTATAATTGTAAATTATGCATTTAAATAATGGTGCGCGTATCTTTGCCACGCCTGATGACCGATATTCATATGCAAATCTGTATATGTCCATACACGCGATAGGTAGAACGTTCCGCGACATGTCACTTGATTATTCGAAGGTGTACTTACACTTTACGAAAGAATTACCGATTAAGTAATTTTGAATTCTCAAGGGACTACGGAGAATTCATTGTTCGTCGGTATCTTTTATCCGTTGACTATTGTCGCTTGAGACACCTGTTTCGAGAGAGTTGCGTTCGATAAATATTAAAAAGTTACTGGAAAATATTTCAACATTTTAGGAATGAACGTGTGCGCTCCTATGCGTGCTTGATAAAATTGGAACGGTATTAATTGACGATTATCCCTTTTTCAAATCTTTTTCAAGATTTAACAAGTCGGTACAACGGCGGTACAAATATTGGTCACTTTACACTCAGTCCCTATAGGAAATGCCCTTAGAAAATAAAACGCAATTTACGATTAACTTGATTGTAACCGATTTACAAAAGCCATAGTAAGCATAGTGCACGTGATTCATAACGCATGCATCCATATTTTAGTTGTCATCAACCTTCGAAACCGTCGAAATCCTTTCAATTCCTTTTCCTTGTTATTTTGTAAATGAATCACACGAACCTTAAGATTACGAGTGCGGACTTAAAATATTCTCTCCACGATTCAACCACTTTCGGTTTTTTTTCATAAAAGTTGCTGACACTCCAACTAGATAATTTATTCTCCGTGCAAACGTGATTCGGTGCAATTGAACAATCACATCTTACGCACTGACACAACATATATATTTATAAAACAGTTTAAACATCCGATACACATATGTACAAATCGCATCAAAAGTATCTGTATATCTAGAGGGGAAAAAACAAATAGGTTTGTACAGTTTATTGTATTTACTCGTATTTGTAATACCTAATTCCTTCAGTAATTACAGTTTTCTAGTATTGTCAAAAAATGGCACGTTCTTTCTCATATTGACGCAGTTATTTCATTCGTTTATAATATCATTTCTACAACCAAAATGTGAATTTTTTGTTGTTGTTTCGTTCGTTTGTCTTCTTTTTCACACAACGATTTTCTTTTTTACAACGATTTAAAATAAATTTTATCGCTTTGTTAACGATTGTATCGAATAGTGGTCTTCAATTTTTTCTTCTTATTTGCGTTCACCACAATTTAAGTCTCGCAGTATTACTATTATTTATACCTCCTTCTTGTTTTGCATATACATTCATCTCGTTTAATATTCGAATTAAGATTAAAGTTACTAATGAAGAGTCAGTTGAAACATTGTAATTTCGATAAACAGATAAATATATCAACGTCGTAGCGTGTATATGGCTCTTCCTGTACAAGATTTTCAACTTAGATCCTCGACAGTAATTTAAATTACTTTCGTTCCCAATGATTCCCATGGTGGGGCACGTACGCATAACGGTGTTAGCTCCGATTATGGTAATATAAACAGATAAAAAAGCATTAATTAACGTTTTATTGTGAGTAAGATTGTGATAGATGTGTAGTAACGTTTCGTTTAGTAACTTCTTTCCTTTTAAAGGTATTAAATTGTTTACGAAACATTGAATACGATTATCATATATCACTGGAAAGAGAATCGTTCGATTACACAAAATGTCCTTTTCTTTATGGTTTTTCGCATACAGAACGAAAATTACTCGTTGCAGTGCAATTACGGAGATGAGATTCCTTTATGCACAATTTTTCGCATATAAAATTATGTACGTCTGTCCATACTGTATTCCTATTTCAACACGTATGTACGTATGTATGTACTCTACGCGGCCAAAAGTTTGGAATCACCTCCCAATTTTCATCGGTACTGAATCTGCTACCAATTTTTCATAGACTTGATATTGATATTGTGGAGATAAATAGAAATTTACCTCGTATCGATTGATTTGAACGATACAAAATTCGTTAAAAAATTCTTGAAGATGCTGACTGTTTTCTGGCAATTTTTGTGTAACTTGCAATGCACAGTGATCCCAAACTTTCGTATTTTAAAATTGAATATCGGACCTTTGCTATGAAAAAGCATTTATACATACACCATATTTTATACGCGTGAAACATGTTTATTCTGTTCGGTATAGCAAGAAGTAAATCTACTTTTGTTTCTCGAAATTTTCAAGTTAAACTATAGAAGAAACTTTATTTAAATTAAAAAAGAATATTTCATTTTACATATTGAATCGTGCAAGACCATTGTACATACATACGTATGTATATATATATGTAT